CAAGAGTGATTCTGCATTGAATTTCAATGCTGACATTATTGTCGGTTTTAATGCTGGTTCCCAAGTAAACGAAATTCTCCATTTTCTCGAAATTATGACTGTCAACAGTGACGTGGTTACCAAGAAGCAAATGCCCTGACTGTTTGTTTGATGACAGAAGATACTTCGTCTTGTCATCGTTGACCACCGTGTCATTCGCGTTGCTTCCTTATCCAACCTGGGAAAAGGCAGGGCAGACTCCACGGTTCTTGTTACCGATGAAGTCGATGTCATCGGCGTACGTCAGCAATTTCAGGGTCTTGTAAAAAATTCTTCCTGAGCAGTTCAGTTATACAGCTCTTATTATCTTCTCCAACATCAGATTAAAGAAATCACATGAAAGGGAGTCACCCTGTCTTAAACTCCGTTTGGTGGCAAACAGCTCGGAGAGGTCTTTCCCAATTCTGACGCAGCTGGAGATATTGCTCAACGTAATTTTACACGGCCGTATCAATTTCGAGGGGTGCCAAATTCAGACATCGCAGCGTATAGGTAACTCATTTTAGTGCTATCGAAAGCTTTAAAGTCGACAAAAAGGTGGTGAGGGGCGATCCTTTTCTCCAGGCCTTTTCCAAGATTTGGTGTATTGTGAACACCTCGGGTATGGTGGATTTGCCAGGTCGAAAGCCACACTGATAAGGCCCAATCAGTTCATTGACGGTGGGCTTCAGTCTTTCACACAATACGTTCGATACGACCTTGTAACCTATGCTTAGAAGGCTGACCCCCGGGAGTTGGGGCGAATGGCCTTTGTTGTGGATGGGGCAGAGCACACTTCTTAAATTCCAGTCGTCGGGCATGCGTTCATCTGACCATATTCTGTATAAGTGATGATGCATGCACCCCAGCGAACACAGTTTCAAATATTTGAGAAAAATGTATTTCTCAATTTTATATCAAATGATTCTCAAATTGAAAACGTAGTTCCAATTTTACATTTGAAATTCATTTGAGGTTGATTTGAAAAAAGATGGCAAGTGTCAAACGATATCAAAATGCGCAATCAAAAATTGTAAGAATACATTTAAGATGAATTGAACAAAAAAACAATGAATAAAAAAAAAATTTCAAAGAGAAAGCCCACAAATAGTGGATTTGATGTTAGCGCGGATTGAAGAAGCTGCATCTCTTCAAGACGAATCTATATCTTAATACGCTAACATAAATTTTGTCTCCGTTCGTTTGGCGATTTTACCGAACCGATTTTAAAACCAAGAACACCGTTGGAAAGGCATTTTTCCGTAGATGAGCAGAGTTTTTATGGTTTAACAAAACCGTCGTTTAAACATTTTCGTATTTGTGTATAGATGTTGCTGCAACATGTTCAATTTGACATGTTTCGCATGTTGTTTCACTTCACATTTGAAATTAAGCTTTGAAATAAAGATAAATATGAAGATGAAGAAATAAATGATAACGATGAAGTCAAAAAAAAAAGGCAAAAGTGAAGATAAAGACGAAAAATGAGATAAAGGCGAAAATGGAGACAATGAGAAATAAATAAGAATTAGGTTAACAGAGTTGAAATTTTCCAATAGGAATCGAAATCAAATCAGCCATAAACGTTACTGAAATTTATCGAATAATCGAAATTTATAATTATCGAAATTTATCCATGCTTATTAAGTTATCGCAACGTGTCGAATTATTCAAACTGATCAATGTTTACTGAGTTGTCGAAATTTGTAGACACATAAACTTAATTGTCCAAATTTACGGATAGTTGTCGAGCTATAAAAACGTGTGGGACTAACGAAATTTGTCAAGTTAAAGAAATGTATCAAGCTATCGATATTTATTGAATTATCATTATTTATAGATTTGACGAAATTTATCGAGGTGTCGTAATGCGTGGAGTTCGTTCAACTTACAGAGTTATCGATAATCACACAGGTTTACAAAAAAAAAGTGTATGCATATCATGTTATCATCATATGTTGATAAGCGTGTCGAATAACATAGGGATATATAGGTTTGGTTTAATATGCATAAGCTTTTTTTTTGTAAACCTGTGTTATTGATCTACTAAAATTGGTTGGTTCAACGAAGCGAAGTTTATGGAATTTCCAAAATATATCGAAATTTCAAGGTTATATAAGCTTATCGATTTATCACTGCTTATCGAATTTAATCGTCTTAACAGAGTGTAGCGAGTTATCAAAATGTTTAGATAGTTTTCGAAAAATGTGGATATGTCAAAAGTAAAAGTTTATAAAGGTATCCAAAGTTTTTACATTTTGGAGTTATCGAAATTTATCGAACCATCGAATTTCACAGTTATCGAAATTGGTCGAGTTAACGAATTTTGTTGAGTTATCGAATTTTAGTGTTCTTGAAATTCGTCGAACTATCGATATGTATCATATCATTGACATTTATAGATAAACTTGAATGTATCGGGTCAATTCCAAGTCCTGCCGAAGTCCTCTAAAGACCTTCTCAGATAAAAAAAAAGTTTAGTTACGTTTTAGCAGAAGATTTTCCGGTTAGTTAATTTGTACCGTAAAAGTTTTGCTACGTGTTAAGTTAGAAAACCTCCAAGGCTTCTAGAACTAGAAAAACTGTCTAATTTCGACAGCAACTGGCACTCTAGTTTATTATAAATTACTTTATCTTAATTGTTTCTTTTGTTATGTACATATATATGTACATCGCGAAGAAAAAATAAATATGAAATATACATTTCCTATAATAAATTTTATTTCCACATTTGAAGTACAATTGATAAATAACCTTTGCAATTGATTTGAGAGTTAACCATATTCTCAAATGGAGATCAAACTCCCCTTTTTATTGAGAAATCTGTAATTTTCAAATCAATATCAAATCATTTTCAAACGTTTGACATTTGAGAAAGACGTATTGCGAATACCTGATCTATGGTGAATTTGCCGGGCCTAAAGCCACACTGATAAGGTCCAACCAGTTCGTTGACGGTGGGCTTCAGTCTTTCGCACAATACACTCGATGAGACCTTACAACCTGTGCTTAGAAGGCTGATTCCACGGTAGTTGGCGCCAATGGCGGGGTCGCCTTTCTTGTGGATTAGGCAGAGCACACTTAAATTCCAGTCGTATGTTCTGCATACGAGCTGATCAGCTCCTCGCCGCTGTACTTGAATAGCTCGGCTGGCAGGCCGTCAGCTCCAGCAGCTTTGTTGTTTTTCAGCCGCGAAATCGCTATTNATTTTCCAGGCCTAAAGCCACACTGATAAGGTCCAATCAGCTCGTTGACGGTGGGCTTCAGTCTTTCGCACAATACACTCGATGAGACCTTACAACCTGTGCTTAGAAGGCTGATTCCACGGTAGTTGGCGCCAATGGCGGGGTCGCCTTTCTTGTGGATTAGGCAGAGCACACTTAAATTCCAGTCGTATGTTCTGCATACGAGCTGATCAGCTCCTCGCCGCTGTACTTGAATAGCTCGGCTGGCAGGCCGTCAGCTCCAGCAGCTTTGTTGTTTTTCAGCCGCGAAATCGCTATTCGTACCTCGTCATAGTCAGGTGGCGGGACAGCTACTCTATCATCATCGACTGGGGACTCGGGTTCGTCTTCTTCACTACTTTCAGCGCTGCTACCATTCAGTAGGTTGTAAAAGTGTTCCCTCCACAATTTAAGTACATTCTGGACATCGGTCACTAGGTCGCGATTGTTGTTCTTGTGTCCGTAAGTCGCCTAACCCTCTGGTAGAATTTTCGGGCGTTCTTCCTGTCGGCCAGCATCTCAAGCTCTTCGCACTCACGTATTGCGGCCTCTCTCTTAATGCGGCAAATACGTCTCGCTTCCCTCTTCAGCTCCCTAGAATGGTCCCACAAGGCTCGCGTTGCGCCCGATCGCAGCGTGGCCATGTATGCGGCATCTGTTTTCTCTGCAGCTTCCTGACACTCCTCATCGTACCAGTTGTTCTTTCGGGCTCGCTGAAATTCGACTACTTCTTCGGGGGCGTTACTTAATGAACGGGAAATGTGGTTCCACTGCTCGCATATATCGGTTTGTTGAAGAGTGCTCTCTGAGAGCAGGTGTGAGAGTCGAATGCATTGGCCTGGCCATCTGTTGTGACTGCACCTTTTCGACGTTAAAATACTAGAAACATGCCTTCCGTCAATCACAACATGGTCAATTTGTGCTGAAAAAAACTCCAAACCTAAAATTTAGGCTTCCAGATCACTTTATGAGTTTTCCAGGCAGAGATAGCTGCCACCTACTGAGGAGAATTCGATTTGCTGCTGATTTGCGCGACGTCGACAAGGGGGTAAATATCTACTCTAAATATTCTACCGGATTCTAACTTTCGCAGCTGCTGTGGGACTGTCCAGCTTTTGCAAGGCTGCGGTCTAAACACCATCGATCCAAGTTTTTAATGACCCTGCCTCAGTTACCGTCCAAGTGAGGCAACTACATTAACCTAACTGTTTCTTCTTTTTGTTTTTAAATAAATACACTTGATTTAAAACGGTAGTCGTTTTACATATCGCACACCAGGCCGATTTTTATGCATAAATCAATTCGTAGGATTTATCTGCACTTAATGCAAATATTTTTTCTCCGTAATTATATTCTCTAACTAGAAAACTACTTTAAATACCTGTTTTTGCATTAATTGCGTTAAATCATTTGTGCCTCTTTTGAAGATGGTGTGCGATATGTAAAACGACTACGGTTTTAAATTAACCCCTCTTTTCTAACAGGGTCACAAAACTTAGCTCATCACTGTTGTAATTTCTAGTGCGTCCCAAAATATGCCACAAAAATTCGATTTTAAGTGCTAGGAAAATACACAAAAGCTTAGCTTAGCGGCTTATTTGTTGCAGCAGCAAACTTGGAGGCACAGTAAAAATCACAGCAGTGATGAGCTAAGGTTTGCGATTTTTTTAGAATACGGCTGTAAGTGCCATTTGTGCCATGTTTTATAAACTTAAATAAAACAGTAGTAATTTAATTATGATTTTCTCTCTCTTTCAGGTGTGTGATAATTTTATTGATATTATGCATTGTGGGTGCTGTTGGCTGCAAAATGTGGTTAACCTCTTTTAAGCATTTTCCTGTACCATATCTACCTTTTGACGTTAACCCCAGTTATGAAGGCCTTTTGACTTTCTGGACGTACATAATAATATTGCAGGTGATGATTCCATTGTCTTTGTACGTTACAATCGAATTATGCAAAATCCTCCAAGTGTACCACATACACAACAATATTGACTTGTACGACCAGGATACAAATAAAAAGACAGAATGCCGCGCAATGAACATTACAGAAGAATTGGGCCAAATACAGCATATATTTTCAGATAAAACAGGAACACTCACTGAAAATAAAATGCTGTTTCGGCGATGCATTGTCAATGGCATTGACTACAATCACCCGCCTTCTGAGTTGGAAAAATTGCATTCAAAGCCAGGCACGCCTGCGCCACCGTTAATATCAAATTCCACATTGATGAATGATATGCTAGAAGTAATAAACTCTGGCCACTGTTTATCGCCAAATGCGCAACGACTTCAAGAATTTCTTTTGGTATTAGCAATGTGCAATACTGTGATTGTAAGCGCCACACCCCATCATGATTTGATGAATGCCAGTGGCATAATGGAGGTTCAAGGAGCGAGCAAGAGTGATTCAGGAGTGCTGGAAAGTAAGTTTCAATGCTTGTTTAATATTTTTGCTTATATAATTTGATTGATTAAGGTTTAAAGGACAATCGAACTCCACTTCAAAATATAACTCAAACAGATTCGTCTTCATCATCTATAGCGGCAGAGTATAATAACTTGGCGCCTGCTATACCCCCTGATCGTTATACTCGTTTAGCCGAATCGCGTTCAGTAACACCATCGCCGCCCCCAAACCTCTCTTATATTTTGCCGTCGCGGACACATATTCCATCTTTATCGCCGATAAACAGCTCTGCAGAGACTACACCTACTTCTGATTCGCCTCCATTGAAAATTAAATCAATTTCCAATAGCATAGCACCAACGGGGCGAGCAAAAGCAGTGATAAATTCAAAAATAACAAGCCTTACCTCGTTTCTTAATGTAAAAGCACAAGCGAAAAAATTTTCCAACAAAATAAAGTAAGTCCTAGTAATCTAAATATGCATACATATATATGTATATACGCAGTTTTATATCTTCCTAAATAAAAATACATTTGCCAGTCAAACAAAGAACCGACAACCAATCAAAACGGCCGACGGAAGACCGTTTTATGAAGCCGAGAGTCCAGATGAGCTTGCGCTGGTGAACGCTGCCTACAGCTATGACTGTTGTTTGGTCAATCGTAGTCCAAATCATATACTAGTTAGCATTGCCAACACAGGTATTATAGAATATGAAGTTCTAAAGATTTTACCTTTCGATTCGAACCGCAAGTGCATGTCCATCGTTGTTCGTCGCACTGGAACGCAGGAAATCATACTTTATTCAAAAGGTGCCGACAGCTCCATTATGCCTGTATTAGCGCCATGCGCCCCAAACACTCCGGAGGGTATATGACCTTGAATGAAAAGAAGAAATTAGCATATTTATATCCGTTTTTGGTATATTTTTTATACGTTAGGTCTAATGCGAGAAAAGACCCTACAACAATTGGATCGCTATGCGCGTGATGGTTTGCGCATATTGGTCATGGCGAAACGGATACTTAACCCTGCTGAGTATACCGAATGGTGGGCGCGTCATCAAGAAATTGAAATGTCATTAGAGAACAGAGAACGACGAATTCGTGACTCGTTTGCAAAGCTGGAGTCTAATTTAATATTATTGGGTGCTACGGGCATTGAGGATAGGTTGCAAGATGGCGTTCCAGAGACGATAGCTGCTATGCTTTCCGCCGGCATTTCAATGTGGGTGCTAACAGGCGATAAGCCAGAAACGGCAATCAACGTTGCGTATTCGGCGAAATTGTTTACGCAACAGATGGAAATAATACGGTATTTATATTTTTTTTTTGTCTCTTCCTGAGCAATTGGAGAAATATTAAAATAACACTAAATGCAATGAAATTAACCCAAGCGCACTCGAAATATAAGCCGGTATATTTCAAGTTTGGCAATTTCTATTTGCAACACGCTTAAACTTTATTTAAATCTACGGGAACTTGTTCAAAAGCTCCGAAAGACAACATCGCGAAGAATTTTTAATTTCTACGATAGCAAAGCCCGTTTAATTGAGATTGAAGATCGCACAAGTTATTTTGTAGAATTATACGCGGAGCCAATTAACCGGGGCTTGCTTAATTGAACAATCGAGCCTTTTACCGAGCTCTTGGTTAAAACAAACGTGGTAAAATAATCGCAGGGTCCACTTTCGTGTTGTGTGTCTTTTCATTGTACAAGATAAAAATCTTTGGTAATATGATCTTTTGGAACTTTTTAAAATGTTCTGGTAGAAATAAACAAAATTTATCAGGGATGCATGTAGAACTTACAAATTTGAACTTACTTTACACTGCATTGCGCTTGCGTCAAATAAATGTGCGAATGCTATATTTCTATACTTCTGATATCTTTCAATTCAAGTCAAAGGGATATAATTTTACTCCAATATATTTAGTCTAACGGCACGTTCCCGCGATGCTGCCGAGAGTGCAATTAATGTTTACTTAGCCGAGTTGGACAACAGCAAGTCATCCTATAATACTCGGCTGAAACCACGTGCTCTGGTGGTTGACGGAAAAACACTCACTTTTATCCTGGATTTGCGGTAAGTTTTTGAAACAAAACCTAAGAATAAAGATTACACTGTACTAGTTCAAAAAATCAACAGAGAGGAAACATATGTACCTCGCAAAAGGTACGGATTTGATGTCGGCGCAAGTTGAGCCAATATCTATCTATATATATAAAAATGAAATGTTTTTCTTATGACCGCGATGCCTGACCAAACGGATGAACCGATTTCAATTCTTTAAAAAGTGCTATTTTGGACCTTCTGTGTGGAAGGTTTTTTGATTTAAAAAAATTTGAAACTTTTTGTTGTTGTTGCCGAAAAATGAAGAATGCTGAGAAGTCACGATTTCACAATTTCATACAGTTTTCTGTACATTGAATGTCACTAAACTACTAAACGGCTGGATCGATTTGGTTCATATTTGGAACATATATCACTACCTTGAAAAGAAATATTTCTATAAAAAATTTGCTCGCTAGGCGGCGCTGGGGTCAGAATATTCTTAAAAATTACATTTACTTGCTAATTTGGCTCATATTTAGAAAACAATTTAGCCAATTGAAAAGAAATATTTGGACTTGAAACTTACACGATAGGTGGCCCTGTGGCCGAGACATCCCAAAAAATTATTTTACGCAAAGAGAAGGATATATCTACTATATATTTGTGGAAGTATGTATGTATGTACGTATGTGCCCGGTTGCAGCCTAAACGGTCGGACAGAATCGAACAAACTTTTGACAGAGTATTGTCATGACACCTGGGCCTATAATAGGGTAAAAAAAAATTGGGAATCGACAAGGGGGCGTGGCACCTGCCATAGGGGGAAACTTTTAATCAGCCATAACTTCCGAACTATAAGTCACATGAACTTGAAATTTGGTACGCAGTCATATATATGGTAGGTGCTTACAGTAGAGTATATATAAATGACTTTGTAAAAGTAGGCGTGGCACATCCTATAGGCGTGAAATTTGTTACCAATCATAACTTCGGAACTATAAGTCACATGAACTTGAAATTTGGTATACAGCCATATATATGGTAGGTGCTTACCATATAAATAAATGAGTTTGTAGAAGTGGGCGTGGCACATCCAATAGGCATGGAATATTTTATCAGCTATAAATCCGAAACTATAAGTCATATGAACTTGAAATTTGTTATTCAGTCACACATATGGTAGGTGCATATATTAGGGTATATATAAATGAGTTTGTAAAAGTGGGCGTGGCACATCCCATAGGAATATTTTATCAGCTATAACTCCGGACTATAAGCCACATGAACTTTAAATTTGGTATACAGATATAACTATGGTAGGTGCTTACAGTAAGGTATATATAAATGAGTTTGCAAAAGGAGGCGTGGCACATCCCATAGGCGTGGAAAATTCGGAATCATATGTCACGTGAAATTGAAATTTGGTACGCAGACGTATCTGTAGCAGGTGCTTATAGTAGGCACGTCCCATGGACCTGGAATGTTTTATCAGCTATAACTCCGGAACTATAAGTCGCTTGAACTTGAAATTTCTTACGCAGCCATTTTAATGGTAGGTACTTATATTGGCGTATATATAAATGAGTTTGGAAAAGGGGGCGTGCCACATCCAATAGGCATGGAATTTTATATCAGCTGTAACGTCGGTACTATCAGTCCCACGAACTTGAAATTTGGTATGCAGATATATCAACGGTAGGTGCTTATATATAAATGGGGTTGTAAAAGGAGGCGTGGCACATCCCATAGGCATGGAAAATTTTATCAGCTATAATTTCAAATCCATAAGTCAAATTAAATTGAAATTTGGTACGCAAACGTATCTATGGTAGGTGCTAGGAGTATCTTAATATATAAAAATCCCGTGTCACTGTGTTCGTTTACGCTAATCTTCGAAACCGCTTAACCGATTACAATGAAATTTTTGTTTTTTTTTCATCCAAATTTTTTCTATGTTCTCGCATCATGCTTATCTAATATATAAAAATCGAACTCTTCCTACACGGCTCGACCGATCTTTATGAAATTTTTGTGTTATATATGGTAGGTATGGGAATCGGATGTAAAGCATATTTCATACCGCTAGGTGCAGGGGGGTGGCACCTCCCAAACAAACCGAATTTTTCATACTGCATATCCCGGAAAATGTTCATGGAAGAGGTCTCGAACTTGGTATGGAGATATATGAAAGCAATCGCATACTCATGGAGATAAATTGTGGTTATCGGAAAAGGAGGCGTGGCACCTCCCATACACATCGAACTTTTCATACTGCATATCTCTGGATGTGTTCATGGAAGAGTACTGGAACTTGGTATGTGCAAGATATATGTATAAAACGCGACTGGTCATGAAGAAAAGTTGGGGCTATTGGAAAAGGGGACGTGGCACCTCCCATGGTAGATTACTCGAAAATGGTATAGAGATATATGAAATAAATCCCATGCTCTTAGAGAAAATTTGAAAAGGGGACGTGGCGCCTTTCAAACGCACTGAAACTATTACGTATCTTTGTATGCATGTACAGTTTTGCTAAGTTATTTAAGACGGCAAATATGCCTTCTGACAACCACCAAACCGTAATATTAGAAGACAAATGCGTCACTAAAAATCATGAACGTGAACTCTTGGTGAAAATCTTGGACCAAAATGTTTGAATACAAAAAATTTATTTTGGGCAGGACGAAGTTCGACGGGTCTGCTAGTTGTTTTATAAAAATTATACTTAAAGCAAGATATTTAAGCACAAATATGGAATATTTGTTTAACTATGATATAAATTTTTTACTGATACACACATACACTCAGTCAAAAGTTTAGGTACAGTGAATTTTATACAATACCGGCAACTATTTTTTAAGTATTTTATTTTTCGCTAATTTTTTATACAAATATTGTTAATTCTACAACAAAAACCTCAAAAATCAGAGTTCCAAACCTTATGCAAAAAGTTTTTGTTGTAGAATTAACCTTAAAGAATGAGCGAAAAATAAAATATTTAAAAAATAGTTGCTCGTATTGTAAAAAAATTGCTGTACCTAAACTTTATTGACTGACTGTACTTTTCACATTCTTCTTAATTTTTTCAATGTGGGTAATTCAATCATTTGTTTTCAATGTAAATCAATTCAATACCTATTGTTTCTTTAAGAATAAAATTACTAGAAGATAATCCAGCACAAATAGCGGCCGCTGTGGTGTATTGCTTAACAGTGCGCGCTACCATTCCGAAGGGTCTGGGCTCAAGCCCTGTTCAACCCAACGTCAACAAATAAGAAACAAAAACGTTTTTATAATAGAGGTCGCCCCTCGGCAATGGCAAGCCCCCAAGTGTATTTCTGGCATGAGAAACAGTTTCTCATAAAAATACAATCGCCGTTCGGAATGGGCGTAAAACTGTAGGTCCCTCCCCTTTATGTGGCGATCTCAAGGCGGGCGCCACAAATCGGAGGAGAAGCTCGGCTAAACACTAACATCATATATCACAGCGCCAATCGGTTATTATTAATTCAACAAAAAAAGACTTTGTTCCTATATATTGTGATTTATTGGCGAAAATTTCAACGTATTCTTCGATTTCGCTTAGTTTTTCGAACGTAAGTGAATTCTCTTCATTGAATTTCTGTAAAAAACCAATTTATTTTACTTTTTTTTGTAATACATAACAATATTTGTTCGCCAAAATTGCCATTTCTTTTCAAATTTCATCTTCTGAATCCGCTTCTTGAAGTTTCCAACAAATGTCTCCTGAAAGGGCATCAAGCTTCTTTCCACTATACCAATTTTCAAGTATAGCTGCGAATTGATGAAAGCGCTCGCCGTGCTCATCTGATTCAGCGGAAGATTGTTCATGGAATATATCAGTATGTCAATGTAAGATGAAATGTAACAGTCATTTTGAGCGTTTATTTAACAATCTAGATATTTACATGTATATCTACTCATCTGTTAAACTCGCGACTGACGGGACGCGTAATTGCTATTCTGCTATTAGTAGCGATGTGCCAATTGATAGAAAAGTAATCTGGGCAGTGAATTTTTGACAGCTATGAGGTGAATAAACATTTTTTTATCCGGCAGGGCTTGCCAAAAATTTGGCAGCAAGCATTAGCTTGGTTTCTTTACAGATAATTATCACTAGTTTCTGCTGGAAAGCGTTTATTAACCCCAAGAAACCAGCGGAAACTAACAGCTCTCTCACGTTCTTACGCTTTTCTTATTTTTGTATGTATAAATGCTCAGAAGGAAAAAATAAATCGATGAAGCGATGACTGTCTGTGCACACGATAACTGGAGTAAAAATTAAGATATCTTAACTAAACTTAATAACCACGCCTACCTCCCACTTCATTCAAAATTGACCAACAACCACATGATCAAGTGTGAATTGCAGCGGAATAGCTGCGCTTGATTGTAGTTGGTTGTTGGTCCAACCACATGATCAAGTGTGAATTGCAGCGGAATAGCTCCGCTTGATTGTAGTTGGCTTAACAAATGAAATAGTGGAAAAAGCAACAAGAATTCACAAGGTGAACTTAGCACAGTGCGTAGGCAACTGGCTGAGTCAGTGGGATCGTCGAAGTCTGATGAGAAAATGTGGTGATTTCCGAAATAGCTATCACTTCTACCATTTTTTCAAATTATTGTTGCTTTTCCACAATAAGTTTTTCATGAAAAACGGCCTCAAGCTCAATAAAAATTGTTGAATAAAATAATTTATAATAATCTCTCTTTGTTTTACATTTACATTTGTTATTATTTCCTCATTTCTAAATATGGTGTAGTTTTTTTCTAAATATGGTCACCCAAATTAGAAAGGCCACGAAATGGTATCAGCTGTTTTCGCTTCCACTCTAATTCTTTTTAAGTAGGCAAAATAACGGGGCGAACGGTGAACGACAGCATCGGAGAAGTTAGCCATTCGCCGGTATTGTATTTCAAGCATTATTGTATGGTAGATCTACCACAAATTTTTTAAAATTTGGTTGTCTACCTCATCTACCACACATGGCTTAAAATCTACCATATTT